ACTACTACTACTACTACTAGTACAAGTACGACGACGTTGTCTGCTGCTACCGCTGCCACTGTTATGCAAGTTATGCTGCCTGAGAGTATCACAGTTTGTTCGAGTGGTTTCAAGTTTATCTATAAACGAGAACACTGCAAACCAATAGAAGTTCGCTCCTTGACAGGAAGATGCTTTACTCCGAGTTCATGGCTCATCTTTTGTGCCGTGGCAGTGTTCGGACAGGCCACCCCAGAGAGTTCATGTGCACCAGGCCGTTTGCGAATATTTAACCAGGCATTCATCCACCCATCCATTTGTCTATTTCTCTGCCTATCTATGCAGATAAGCGTAGGGCTTGTGAAAAGCACATGCGCACATAGACACGCGTATGTACTTGCTGTTTTCTCTGTACGTGTTAGGCCACCGTTCTTCGGTTCCTTTCCGGTACATGAATGTTCCATTAGTTTTGTGCGCATGCATGCTCGGTTTTTATTTTATACAATGGCCGGTAATCATTTACATATATGTATAATTGCGTAGAGAGCCATATATGCAGAGAGAGGGAGTGAGTGCGGTCTGACTTGATAAACGCATAAATGTTTGTATGTGTATATCTATATATATATATATATGTATATACACATACACATACACACACACACACATGGACATGGGGGATGGACAAGAGCAAGTTCATGTAGATGCGTGCAGGGATCATAGCTGTCGAGGTTGTGGCCGCTTGTGGGCGGGCGGGGAATCTCACACATGGTCCCACAAAGCAGGTTGTGGTTCTGGCGGAGATCCGAAAGTTCATGTGGTCTTTAGGGCTTTCTGGGTTGAACCAGCTTCTCCAACTCAAAACTGCCCGAAATTTCGAGTTCGGCGTTTGAGCTTGGTTGGAAGTCTAGTGACGTGCTCGCACCTGTTCTGGTTGATTGTAGGCTCGTCATGGCATAAGTCCCATCAATGTCAAGATATGGAGACCACCACCGAAGCGGCCAAGGAGCTCTTGTGGGAGCCTATTGGGCCTCGAAATGATTGATCTCGTCTTGTGTACGTCCCCTCAGGAGGCACTCGTGGAAGGATTAGGTTTGAGAGTCTTGTGCCTGGGTCGGTCAGGAGTTCTCCGGGGTTCTTAACCGTAAAGGAAGGCATTGGGGTTCTGTGTAAGCAGGGGTGTCTCAAGAACCTCAACTAAATCGTTCCATGATTCATTACACTCATAACCCCATACATCAACATTACATCACATGCTGGTTTCGGACTACCTTTGGGTCGATGTGGAAGGGCACACTGTTCTCAACAACCTTGTTCACTTCTCATGTTTGTGCAATCTTTTGCGGAGATGTTTGGTAGTGTTGCGGCAAGCAAGACTTGCCACAAGATGCCCTCTAAGGACAGGTGAGGGCTGACGGTTTGCTTCATGTGCACATGACATGAGCCGACATCTGCCGGAGTCCTGGAAAATCCACCATTGACAGTCACTTGAGCTGGACGAAGTGGAGAATTGCGCAGGACGCCGCAACACAGAATCGGAAACCACCCTCTCACCGGAAACGGGTTGCCTTCGAGAATCCGAGAACTCTCTATCGGTTGTCGTAACCAGCCTCTCAACATTTCTCAGCACTGAACCGCAGCCTCAGGTGATCGTGAATTTCACCAGCCAAGATGCGTGTACCTGCACTATTGAAGCTTAGTGCGAAGTTTGGGTTTCAGATTCTGCCGTGGTTGACGGCTCCGAGTCGTGGACCTATAAGCACTAGACCCTCAACCCTAGGCCCTAGGCCTTACGCCGTACACCCTCGAATTTCGAGCCCAGATCGCATATGTGCCCGGCGGAGGCACTCCAAGGAGCTCAGAGTTCTTTCTTATTGTCTTCTGAAACTACTGAGGGGTGTAGGATTGGGGCATTTAAAGTACCCTGAACCGGGTTCAACTTAGGAGTGAATCAGTTGTACTGCGTTGGACAACCGAAAAAGTTAGTTAATGAAAACAGGAGCTACTATAAAGACTGTAGGTAGAACCCTAGTGCAGAGAAGCAGTGCTGAATACTAGGACGGCTAAGTCGCCAAACCCACATCTTGGAACCCCAGACACCCCGCCGCAAGAGCCGTCATTGTGTTGAAGAGCCTCTGACCGTAGGCTGTGACTCTCCATTATCACAACCGCTAGCCGTGGTGAAGTGTAGCTTAACCAAAAACCCGAAACCCAGCTGAGTTTCATCTATATACATCTCCATGCTCACACCCCCTCACAAGACCTGCCGCGGGAGACCTCTCAGGTCAATCCTAAACACAAGCGTGTCTATTGTAACTCCCAAAAACACGTTTTTGCACAAGCTTGCAAACTGATGAGAGACAGAAGGTTCGCACCGATTTCACAGAGCTCGTTCCGCGAAGAAGCGAGGGAAGGTTCAACGCTGGATTTATGATTTTGCGGTTAACCCGTAATTACATTGCATGTTTTGGAAAGCCAATTTTTGTGGAGCTGTGCGAGACTTACCACTTAAAAACCGAACATAAAGGCAAAAGAAAGTTATAAGTTATATGTGTATATAACATATATATATATATATACAGCAGAGCCGAGGAATGCTTGTACTCGGCATTTTGGGGTGTGCAATTAACTATTTGCCGTCAGGAACATATATGACCACATGCAGAACAGGCTTTGGGGCAGAGGAGTACTTCATATTAGGATTAGGTGCTTGTGCCGAAACTGCAGCTTTGTAATGCTAGCGAGAAGCTTCCGGCCGAGGATGATGTCATCTCAGACATTCTGGGAATGTGTAATCAAGTATTAGGAGGCTGCTTATAAGTTGCTGGAAAGACAGCATTGCAGCAAAACATCCGTTGCCCGTGGGCTTCCTATACGTACTGTTGAGTAGTAACACCTGTTAGTCGTATCACGGGGCCACATAGCTGCGCGTATGAGCCTCCGTCCTAAACCTTGTATTGTTGAATAATCCCCCCAAACCAAAAAACAACAATGCGCCTATGAGGCTGAGCCATAAACCATGAAAGGCAGCTTTACGCTGTGCAGCTGAGCTGCGACTTTTCCATTGGACAGTTCATGCGTCGAATGGCCCCCAATAATAGCACTTCTTAGCTACTGCTCATAATACTGTTGCCTAGCCATGACTGCTCCCACTGCCCACGCAGTACCTGCGATAGCGCCAAAAAAGCTTTATTCGGTCAGTCACTCTCACCGGCTCATGCTGGGATCGACGACTAGTACTACCGAAAGTGCTATAATTACTAAACATTAGGCGTCAGTGGCCACCTCTTGTTCGTGTGTTTTAGCTTCAACTGCGAGCCCCGAACCGGCAAACCCCTGCCAGGGAATCAGGGGCGGTACATGAACCCCGAGAAAGGATTCAGATATGGACTCGTTTCCGCTGAATCGCAATACATATAGGATATGTGGCGAGGACTACAAACCTCGAATCTTACCAGCGACACCCATATCACCGAACCTGCAGCCTTGTTTGTTCTTTTTTGAGTCTGGCCGCATAGTTTCCCAAAAGATGTTTTTCCCGAATGCGTAGCAGAAGGGTTCTCGTTTGAAGGTTGGGGGTCTGGGGGTTAGGAGTTGACGCGGAATGCGTGCGCAGCGTTCGCAAGCGTCCGCGAGTGTCGGATTTGGCTGGGAGGGACGCTCCCGCTGTAGTGCCGCACTCAGTTTGCACGAAAATGGCGTTCCCGCCACAGTGCCGGTCGCGTTTGGTGACAAGCGTCGTTTCGAAATCGCGGAGGTCATTGTAAATTACAGCACTTTCGC